GAAGATCGGTGACCATTGAGGATTGTTCATGTCTATCCCACACACATTCATCCAACCTTCGGGCCATTGATCATCATGTACTTCATTCATTCTATGAGAATATCTGTCATGAAATTGAATTATGTAAGAATAAAACTATGTGAGAATGTTTTTATACACCAAAAATAAAACAAATTTTAGTAATTCTAAGAGAACTCATACTACATGTTAAAATCAAGTAACACAAATAACAAACTCATATATTATTTTGTGTTCTTCAAGAATTTGAACATCAAGTTCTCTTTCAGGCATTTCTACAAACACCTGGTGTGCAATATTCTCATAGAATTATTTTTGTGTTCTTCCATATGTTACCTTTGCTACTGGTAGTAAGGTCAACTGCTTCAGTCTAAAAACCTAATAAGAGTTTTTGGTTCACTTCCTAGAGCATAATTTCAAGCTTCTATTCTTCCCAACTATTTTTAGACCATTCAAAGACTCAAACAACATCTTCAATAGACTAATGATAACTATCATTCCTTGTAGAACAATAGCAGGGAACTAAGAACATAGTGACTTTCCAGCTCCAGCTGGGAAAATCACCATACTTGATTTCCCAGAAAGCATAAATGTAATGACTTCCAAATTTCAATAACCTGATTAGATTCACATTCATCTTCCTCCAATGGAAAACCTTCTTGTTCACATAAACACTGCTCCTCTTCTAAATCTGCAGGCCATTCAAAGTCTCCTAGGAAACGAAACAAAAAAAAGAAAGACCAATTAGATTTTCATCAGAGTACAACCAAAAAAACAAAAACTTTGTAAAGTAAAGAACATAGCAGGCCTGGATGCGGAAGATTGCGTCTAATACCTTAACCATCGCGTTAATGGGTTCCACCGGAAACCCTAAACACCAACAAATTCAAATAAAAATTAATATATTTGAAGCAATGAATCAATACATATGTACCAACATACAAAGAGCGATATAGGGGTGTGTAATCGATTGGAAGAAAAAAGGAGTTGTGATTGGGGGTGGTGTCGATCGGAATTAAGAACCTACCACCGATTTCAAGAAGATAGGAAGAACCATGCGATCGATTGGAGAAGAGGGGAGAAAAAAATCTGGGAATGTGCACACAGATCCCAGTTCAAGAAGTTGTGATTGAAGAGGGGAGAACCGAGAGAAATTGAAACTGAGAGAAGAACGAAATGTTATATCTTTTCAAATTAGTAATCCTTATATATCGATTGCCCATATTTGCCCGATGCTTCTCCCCGATCTGTTAGTCAGGTGATGAACACGGGGAAATAAAGCCCTTCTTTTTGTTTCAGTTGATTCTTTTTTTATGGAAGACATCGGCTGTATATAAGAAAAGAAATTAGGTTAAAATTGAATGCTAGCAAGATTATATGGATTATTTGTGGAATCTAATTATCAAATTACTAAAATACCCTTGTTTATTTATTTAATTTTTTAATTTTTTATTTAATTTTAATTGGTCCACATTTATGCATACAATAACACAATATTTAGTTTAAACAATTGAACCTAGCTCTCTCTCTCTCTCTCTCTCTCTCTCTCTATATATATATATATATATATATATATATATATATATATATATATGTACCTCTTAAATTTCAAAAAATGTTCAATATGCTTTATAATATAGGTAAGTTATATATATATATATATATATATATATATATATATATATATATAACTTACCTATATTATAAAGCATATTGAACATTTTTTGAAATTTAAGAGGTACATGCTTGAAAACTTAATGTACAAATTTGTTATGCACAAACTGCTCATCTTTATATGAACAAAAAGTAATTATGGTAAATAATAGTCACCGAAAATATTTAAGGAACGAAATATCAATTAAATTTTGTTTCTTTTTTAACGTGGATAGAAGATTATACTAAAAAGTAAAAAAAATATGAGATATGTTATCGTTTCACATTACTATCACTTTATTCACCAGAGTTCACGATTTCACGTTCTTTTAATATATTTTAGCTTCGGTTTTACTCTTTTAGTTTATTTTCCTTTCTTTATTCATGTTTCATATCGATACTTTATAGGAAGGAATTCATGTGGTTTTCCAGGGATGTTTTTGGTTTTAGTGGTGCGATTATCACATAATGGTGGGTTTCTATATCCCTGCTTTTCTATTAATTATTTCTATCATAACTATGCATTCTTTTTATTCTTGATCTTCTATATATCTATGTATATGGTAAAGTTTTGACATGAAAAAAAATGTGCATTTATTATATTCTCCAAAGTATTACTAGAGAGCTATTAAGGATCGTTCATCCATCCAACTTTTTGATGGGTTGGTTGGTTCAAGTTCCGCAAGAACAAGGCTCTATGTCAATGAAGCTTTCCAAAGTTTGATCTCTTTTTCTTTATAAAATATAATTATTCTTCGTTGATACATTTAAATCTATGTATTTTTTAAAAGCTTATTTTTTCAGATTGAAAATCACTTTCCGAACCATCTCAAGTGGTTTCTTCCTCTAGATAACAAATTTACTTATGACAACTTTGTTAAGTACTACATGACAAAACAAGATGAATTATGCTTAGTGTGTAGACTAATGGTAATTGGACAAAAATACATTTTCTTTTGTTATGCCCATTTCTTTCTATCTCTCATTTGTTCTAAGAGATATGATTTCCCTCATCATCCTTATTATTGAAAATAGTCCAAGATAGTTTGTCAAAGGTGAAACTTTCAAAACATTCTCTGAAAAAGTTTTGATTATTTGAATTTTTATTTTATAATTCATTTTTAATCATCTTCTTAGGACTCAACGTGAAGAAACGATTTGTATTATCTCAGCTTGGCCATGATGTTTGTCCAAAGGTCGGACATGAAATTTTCTAACATATCAACCAAAAAATTTATAGCCATTGAAACACAATCAAATAACATTTTCTGAACAAAAAAAAACCATTCATTGAAACAATCATAATTGTTGGCGGCCGTTTTGCGCGGGTGGACACCTAGTGTGTGTGTGTGTGTGTGTGTATATATATATATATATATATATATATATATATATATCAAGTTTGCAAAAATCGCTCGACGGTAGCTCGGCGGTGGACTACGGTTAAGGGATTAATCGGCTAGGCGGAGATTAATCGGGGACCATTAATTATTAAGAAATTATTCAAAAATCAATAAATCTAAATTTAATCCTAATATTATAAGTAAATAAGCATAAAAGTTTAATAACAAGTTTAAGCACAACAAATTATCATCCAAAACAAACATAAAAGGTTAATAATAAGTTCATCAAACACCAAATCATCATCCAACAAGTTCATAATAAGTTTAAATAGCACAAAAAATAAAATATATTATCTTCTAATCTTCTCCACACACTTCCATTATTTGAACCCCATCCGACTCATATTCGTCTTCTTCTAACACTTGCTCCTCACTCTCGGACTAAAAAATCTTCATCGGAAAGTTCCCTCGTTCTTCGACTTTCTCGGGGTGCTTGATTATCATCGATTCCTTGATCTTCATTAACCGTTTCGGGGTCTACTTCATCTACATCAACAATCCATTCTTGAGCCGAGAGTGAATGATTTTCTAATAGCACCTTCATATTTCTATCTTTTCGCTTATGGATTTTTTCCATTAAATTAGCATTGAATTGATCATAAACAAGATTGTTCAATTTGCTTGCCTCCAATCTATTTCGTTTTTTTGTATGTACTTAGAAATGTAAACACAACAAAGAGTTGAAATGTGCTTAATATTTAAATTTTATAAAATATAAATTTAATACTTTATATTACTAACCCCTTCAAACGTGCTCCAATTCCTTTCACAACCCGATGAACTACTAGTCAAAGAAAGAATCCTCATTGCAATCTTTGTCAAATGAGGAGTTGTGCCACCAAATAGTACCCACCAACTAGCTACAATTTCTTAAACAAAAAGCACATTATTAATCGATAAATATCAAAATTTTATAAAATACTAAAATGGATAACTAAAAGTAAAACGAATTACCCTGATCAAACTCGACATCATTCACCTTACAATTTTTAATTGCAAGATCGCAACAAAATCTATCAACTTTTTTCTTGTACTTTGGCAAGTCAGTTGTTACAACTTGCCTTTGCATCTCAGAATTATCACAAAGTAATGTATCAAAAAAAATCAAGAACCGCATTCATTATATCGTGATCATATTGGAGTTGTGGATCCTTATAATGATTTTACGGATTTAAAAGATAAGACGTTAAATGTAAACTTGAATCTAGACGACCTTTCATCTTTTTGTTTATGATATCTATAATAGGCTTGTATGCTTTCTCGTTACCACCCAATGATGTGATAATTTTTTCTTTAGCAAATTTAATCTCCCCGTAAACAAAACCCATTGAGGGCTTCCAATCTGCGTCAACCATTCGAAGTACTTTCACCAAAGGGGAGAACACCTTTAAACATTGTGCCACACTTGACCAAAATTGGACACTTGACACCATTTTATATGAGGCAATCCCTTTAGGCGTACCAGAAAATTTACATTCCTCCCATTCGGTGCTAGAGAACATATGTCTTAGTTGCTCCTTTTTTTCGGCCAAACTTTGTAAAGTTAGAAAGGCGGAAGCAAATCTCCTGACTCCCGGTCAGATAATTTCTCTTTTGTTGGTGTAACGTCTCATCATTGCCAAGGTTTTGCGGTGAGCGTAAATGAAGATGGTTAGTTTCTTTGCTTGATCTAGGATTTTCTTAAACCTTGGGAGTGCACTGATACCGTGAAGAAATAAACATGATTAAATAACAAATTATAGTATAAAATTAAACATTTTAAAACAAAATAAAGTAATAAAGTAATAAATACAATTAATAAACAAAATAATGTAAGTACCTTCACGCATAACCTTGGGAGTGCAACTTTGCCGCCCCCATGTTATTCGTGGCATTATCGGTCACAACTTGAACAATATGCTTATGACCAACTTGTTGAATGCAAGACTACACATATTCGTATATTTTTTGGCTTGTATGTGCTTCGTTGGAACATTCTTTTGAAGATAAAAAAACAGCACCAATCTTCGAATTAACACATAAATTCATAATGCTCCTTCTCTTTCGATCAGACCAAGCATCTGTCATAATTGAGCATTCATCCTCTTTCCATTCTTGTTCATTTTTTTTCAACAAGTTTTTTGTTCTTTCAACCTCATGCTTTAGAAGTGTGTCACTCAAAGCATATCCAGTAGGAGGTGGAAGCCCGATTCCAAATTGGCCAACAACCTCCAACATCATTTTGAAGCTATCCCTTTCAAAGGCATGAAAAGGAATTGCGCTTTCATATGGCCACCTACTAATGTATTTATGGACCGTGAATATTCTTTCTTTTCGGTCAATATTGTTAAGATCAACATTTTTTCCCTTTCTCGCATTCAAGCCTTCTTCGTGGTTTATTACGTTTGCGTAGCCATCCATGGGGCCTATAACATTTGGTGCTTTCAACCCCAAAGAAGCTTCTACTCCATCCACGCTGTCATGAAATTCTTGTCTCACCTCAAATCTTAAGGCTTCATCTTGTGAATGTTTAGCTTTCTTTTTTCAACTTCTCTTCATTAATATAATTTCGACGTTTCAATTAATCATCATTTGTAGAACTTGGACATGAAGATACATTCCCCTTCACATGAGCAATATGTTGTTTCATTCTACTAATCCCTCCGCCAAACACTTTTCCACACAATTTACATTTCAATCTATCCAAATTGATTTTATCCGGGATAAAACCATATTCCCAACCAACATCATCCGAATTCCGTTTATGTCTATCGGTGGCGGTTGATTCCACAGACGGTGTAGTCGAAGCATTAGAAGTCATTGATTGTCAGCTTTTAAATCATCACATTAACACATTAAAAAAAATTAACAGATTCATGTTTAATAGATTTCAACAAATGCACAACATATTTATACTTAAACATATTCCAAAAAAAAAAAAAAAACTTAACAGATTCATACTTAACAGATTTAAATAAATCATGTCGTTGTTAACAGAAGAAGCTATCAAATGCTAACAAATTTTCATCTGAAATCCCCTGTTCAACAAATTCTCATTTGAAATTCAATAACCCATTCACTGTTAAACAAATTCATGTTACTGAACAAATTCAATAACCCATTTGAATCAAAGGCTAAACTTCATAGGCAGTGATCTGTGCAACAGGGAAAAATAGATGTTGAACCAATTACTAAAGCATAGTGTGTAGAGGGTGACCCTGATATCTTGCAGTTTATTAGATGAAAAAATGATCAAGAGTTACAAGTTGTATTAAAATTATAGGCATCTTAGACAATCAGATCTATAGCTCTCCTAACTTAAGGCGTTCAGGTGATTCCTAGCAAAGAAATACAGGTGGTAAGTCTAAATAGTATGCACTGAGTTTGTCAAATTGGTGAAATTGATTCATACTTAAGTTTCGATGGGAGGATCTGAAGTCGGAAGAGGAGTTGAATTCGGAACAGGAGCTAAAGTCGGAAGAGTTGGTGTCGAGGGGAGAAACCTCGTGAACCGGATTAGGGCGATAACTGATGACTGATGATGAACCGGATTGGGGCAGTGATATGTGCTTTGAAGATGAGAACTGTGTGCTTGGAAGGGGACTGCAACTTGTTATTTGAAGGTGATGACTGATGACGAGCGGAGCTAGAGTCGAAGTTGTGAACCAGTGAACAGAAGAAGAAGATGGGGCCATTTCACTTCGTTCGTTCTTTCGTGGTTTAAGTCCACAGAGGGAATGTCGATTTTTTGACTGCATAGAATGAGAAATCGGAAGCAACCCTAGAAGCGATTGTTACATTTTGACAATTTTGCCCTTAAAAAGATTTTAAATAACATTGACTTGTGTTGACCGCCTAGACCCCTCTTTGACCGACTTTGACCACGTCCGATTATATAGTCCGATTAGCTATAAACGTCGACGGTAGAGGACCGCCAAGTGCCTAGGCGTCGATTAATCGGCTATATTTGCAACACTTATATATATATATATATATATATATATATATATATATATATATATATATATATATATATATATATATATATATATATATATATATATAGGTTCTAAAAACTCTTTATTTCGTGAGATTGAAAGAAACATTCTGAGCCATACATCTCGGGGTATTAAAAGCAATTTTTTTAATTACAAGCAGTATTGGGCACTAATTTTGCCACTTTTAAAATATTAAAGGAAATTTAAAAATAAAAAAAAAAAAAAGAAAAAAAACATGATTGTTTGAATATAAATTTTAGTTAAAAAATTATTCATAACCGTAAGCTTATACGTAATATCTCAATCAGACCATTATCACCATTATCTGTATAGTCTCAGAAGTCTTACCAATATTCACTAGTATGAAAACATACACGTCAAAAAAGTGTGACCATATGCGTATAGTGACATTTTATTTTTCACTGAAAGTGTGACGGAAGGTGACGTTATCATATGGGTCTTATGGTCACTTTAAAATGTAGTGTACGTATGATATGAAAACATATGGCAGTATTATAAAAGTGTGGCAATTGTGTACGGAATTTTGTTCATAAAATCAATCATTTTATCCAATATTGTAGCGTTAAACAGTAGACACATTTATTTAGTAATTGTAGTGACTGTATATCACCAACTTGCGACATGGATGTTGTTTTAGTGTGGTTTTTTTTCTAATATATTGTCACACAGTTTAAAGTTTATTAAGACTATTGCGCATCTTTTGCAAACATGTAATTACGGTGAACATGACCATGTTCGTTAAATGGCCACATGTAATTAATTTCATAAGTGATGATTTGCTAATAATTAGTAACAAAAACAATCAATTTTTGTGACTATTGCCTATCGTATAGAGACACACAATTAAGTGAAACACAATCATAAGTATTATAAAGACACACATTTTATTAAAATTAAGGACTATTGGGTATCGTATAAAGACTATTGAGTATCTTTTAGAAACATGTAATTACGGTGAACATGACCATGTTCACTAAATTGGCACATTTAATTAATTTCGTAAGTGACGATTTGCTAATAATTAGTCACAAAAACAATCAATTATGGTATTTATTTGCCACATAATTGTTTTTTATGTTATTGTTTAATTTATAGTCACAAAAACATTAGAAAAAACATCATTTAAAAACAATTGTAGACTCATAATTCTCGTATATTATTGCTATTGTGAACCGTTTAGCCACATGTTAAAAAATGATGTAAAGTAACCATTGTATAATTTTAGAGATATTGAAAACCTATAAAACATAGCCAAATTTACATTAAAGCCACAATAATTCAATTTTTATTGTCACTTTTTCTATATTGTAGACACATCAAAATAATATAAATTAAAGTAACCAAACCCAACAATATGAAACAATATCAAATTTCATAATTTAATATTAGTAATAATTGAAATCCAAATCCATACATTAAATTCCTAATTAAAACACCAAAAAAAGAAAATTGTACTAATTGCAAGTATTTAAATTACGGTAAATAAAGCAAACACATCATAAACCAAAACCTAGACATAACTAGACATTCATCTTATTGGTACCGCTTCTTGTCTTCTTGAGAAGGGTATCAGATGATATGTAAGTTGGTTTCCTTTTCTTTGAGTTTTGAAGTTCATGGTCTTGATGTGATATCATATCTAGTACCTATACATAAACAAACCTTGGTAGACTAGTTTATGAAGAAAAAAAAGTGTAATGAGCACAGAAGTTAACATAAACAAACCTTTGAATCGGCTTTAACAACGTGTTTTGGCCATGGAATAAAACTTTAATATGCCCGCCCAACTGTTTTGAATTCTGCAATTTCATGGGGTAGAAATGAATCTTTTTTTTTACCAATTCATCAATGGAAACTTTATAGCAATCATCTTGTAGAGGAACTCCATGAATGAATTGTCTTTCTGATAATAAGAGAACAGTACCACGAGCAATGATGTTCTTTTTATCCGGATATGATAGACTACACTTGATTGGCTACAATGATAAGTAATATTAAAATCAGAAAAAAAAGACAGAAATGTATATTCAGCATGAAAAAAGACATTGACCTGGTGAAGGGTTTTTTTTGGTGAAACTGTTGGTATCTCAGGATTGATAGTGGTAGTCTTAGACTCAACAACTTTTCTGGTGGGTTTTGTATTTGTCTAATATAAAGATTTAAGACATATATTTAAAATTATATTGTAATATAAAAGAGAAATTAAAACAAATGAAAACTGTAAAGTTAGTATGTACTGGTGTTGCAGATTTCAGGGAAGGCAATTGTGTTTCGGGAGTTGCAGTTGCATATTTGGTTTGAACTATTTTCTTGGTGGGTTTTGCAATTACCTAAATAAGTTAAAGTCCCAAATGAAAAAGCAGAAATTAATACCAAAAAATATATCAATGATGATCTTGTGAGATGATGACATACTGGTGTTAAGGGTTCTGATGGTTCCTTGGTTTTGAGACTAACAGGAGTTTCACTACTTTCAACAATCTTGTAACTTGAAATACCCTAGTAAATATAAAGAAACAGGGAAAATATATATAAAAATGCAACTTACAAGTAACATTGTCAATAGATGTTGTTTATAAGATGACTTACAAGTGTTTGAGGCAGATTTGGAAAGTCGGCTCCTTTTGAAGTAAGATGAGCCAAAACTAGATTTAGTGTTTGATCTTGTTCATTAACCTTTGTAGACAAAACCTTGAGTTTAGCATCTATTTTATCAAGCACAAGTTTTCCATTCTACAGTGCAACTTTAAGATCTTTAATTTCCTCCTTAAAAGATCCTTTGGTGCGAGGAACATTGAAATATCTGTTGTAAGTGACTCCCGTGCCGACACCCTTTAAAAATCCACCCTTTTCCTTGCCAAAAATTAAGGTCATGGCATCCGTGCCCAGTTCAACATTTAGTTGTCCTTCTTTTATCTGCTTTTCATGTTCCATCTAGCACACAAAATATGATTAATTATTGTCCTAAAAAAACTGATACAAATCCTTAAAGTAAAAGTAATAAAAACGTTTAGTGAAGTTACTAGTTTATCCGCCATGAGTTTAACATCTTCATCTTTAAATTCTCCTTTACTTTCACGTCCTTTACACCACATAATTGACCTTGGGGGCATTTCTTCCTTTGAAATCACTTTCTCTTCAATCTTGATGAAAAAAAAATTGTAAACAATATAAAGCAAAATCTTGTTAACTACAGTGCTATGAAGTTAATATAATCCGATCATATAGTTAAAGACCAAGCTTACCAACTTTCGCCTTAGAGTCGTATACCCCCTCGCCCCATCCGATGAGCATACTTTGACATCTTTCACGCTTTGATAGTAATTTGTAACACAACCTGACAAAAAAAATATGTGTCAAGCACTTTTTGGTAAGTTTATGATAAATAAATGAAGGAATTTTGGGGAAAAAATTGTAACATTAAACTCTTCAGATTGCGTATATGTCACGAATTTGTTCCAGTCATCTTTTTCAGTAATTAGTTACAGAGATTTTTGCAACCTTTTTGGGATTGCCTAGATGTGGCTTGATGTAATTTGCATACAATTTCCTTATGAAGTTTCGTAGAATGATACCAAGCCTATTCATCACAAACTGTTTTCCAGTTTCATCAACTTCAAAAAAGCGCTAAAATGAAACAATAATGAATATGTTAGTAATACATGATTTGTAAATATAATATGAGATGCAGTTAATAATAGTGAAAATAGTATTTACTGTAATCTCTTCCCATAGTTTCTCCTTTACTTCTGGGGTTACTTTCTTCCAGCCTAAAGCACTCAATCCCACTTTCTCACGGACAAGATCTCCCAAATAGCTCACGAACAATGCATTATGCTTACCCGAAAACTTACCCAATTCATCAAGCTTTACATGTTTTTTTTGCCACCAGAATTGACATACTCAGTCTTTAGTTTTGGCAGTCAAGTCATGCCCCTCTTCCTATTTGATATTGTAGGAACTAGGTTTTGGATATCTTCATCAGAATCTGAATTGCTATTGTACTCAATGTTGTTGTCTTCCCCATCTTCGGTGTTTGAATCATACACTTGCGTTCCATCATCATCTTGCTCATATTCCTGATCATACTCGGGCATATCATCATGTTGTTGGTTGTTCACCTCCATGAATCTTTGGTTAACATGAAACATAAGAAACAATTTTGATTAGTAGTATGTTAAATGAAAAAGGTATGAGTAACATATAATACTGACAAATATTTCACATAGGCATTTCATCGAACACTTGGTGTGCAACAACCACAATAATATGAAGAATGAAAATTTTCATTATTTATGTATACTACATCAATCAATATAATGAAGAACATTGACATCATAAACAAATAGTATACTTATAGTTGAATTCGTGCAGAATGCGTACTTACTAATGTCGATTGATCAATTCAGAAAAGAGAGAATTCTTGAATAAATCAATGTTATTTAAATAGTATAAAATTACTACGCCATAAATGGAGGTTTGTTACAAAAATTACCAAAAATTTCTTGATCCCATGGAATGATCTTCATAGTTTTGGCGGTGAGATAGATGAAAACTTCCCGCCTTGATTTGGAGCCAAAAAATGATATCGAAATAGGTTTGCCTCCCATTGCAATTGCGTAATTTGCTTAACATAATCAAATCTTTTCTAGTTTTTGATCCGACCCTATACCAAGACAACAGTAAAAACCTTTGGAAACATGGACTTCTGGCAATTGAATCCTTATAGATACGTTTTTTTTTATTTTAATATAAATATTACATATTTGGTCCTTGTATATTAATAATTTTACATTAAGATACAATTATATGAGTATTGGAAATAAAAAATATGTAACATTTAATTATATATATATATATATATATATATATATATATATAATAGGAACAATTTATAATATATTTATACTTTAAGATCCAACCCCAATTCACCTGTGCCACTGACCTACCCCGCTGTAACCAGCCCGTACAACTAAGTCATACATCCAAACCCTAATTCACCTGTACTTCTAACCTACCAAGCTCTAACCCATACACCTAACTCATACATCCAAGCCTAACTCACCTGTGCCACAGACATACCAGCTGTAACCAGCCCATACATCTAACTCATTTATCCAAACCCTAAATCACTTGTGCCACTGACCTGCCAAGCTATAACCTATACACCTAACTCATACATCCAACCCTAAATCACTTGTACCTCTGACCTACCAGTTGGAACTGGCCCATACAACTAACTCATACATCCAAACCCTAAATCACCTATGCCACTGACCTACCAAGCTCTAACCCATACACCTAACTCATACATCCAACCCTAACTCACCCGTGCCACTGACCTACCAGTTGTAACCGGCCCATACATCTAACTCATACATCTAAATCCTAAATGACTTGTGTCACTGACCTACCAAGCTTTAACCTATACACCTAACTCACACATCCAACCCTAACTCACCTGTGCCACTAACCTACCAGCTGTAACCGGCCCATACAGCTAACTCATACATCCAAACGCTAAATCACGAGTGCCATTGACCTACCAAGCTCTAAACCATACACCTAACTCATACATCCAACCCTGACTCACTCGTGCCACTGATCTACCAGCTGTAACCGGCCCATACAGCTAACTCATACATCCAAACCCTAAATCACTTGTGCCACTGACCTACCAGCTGTAATCGGCCCATACAGGTAACTCATACATCCTAACCCTAAATCACATGTGCCACTGACCTACCAAGCTCTAACCCATACACCTAACTCATACATCCAACCCTAACTTACCTATGCCACTGACCTACCAGTTGTAATCGTCCCACACAGCTAACTCATACATCCAAACCCTAAAACACCTGTGCCACTGACCTACCAAGCTATAACCCATACACCTAACTCATACATCCAACCCTAACTCACATGTGCCACTGACCTACCAACTGTAACTGGCCCATACAACTAACTCATACATCCAAACCCTAAATCACTTATGCCACTGACCTACCAAGCTCTGACCCATACACCCAACTCATACATCCAACCCTAACTCACCTGTGCCACTGACCTACCAGCTGTAACCGGCCCATACAGCTAACTCATACATCCAAACCCTAAATCACATGTGCCACTGATCTACCAAGCTCTAACCCATACAGCTAACTCATACATCCAACCCTGACTCACCCGAGCCACTGATATACCAGCTGTAACCGGCCCATACAGCTAACTCATACATCCAAACCCTAAATCACCTATGCCAATGACCTACCAAGCTCTAACCCATACACCTAACTCATACATCCAAACCCTAAATCACTTGTTCCACTGACCTACTAGCTGTAATCGGCCCATACAGGTAACTCATACATCCTAACCCTAAATCACATGTGTCATTGACCTACCAAGCTCTAACCCATACACCTAACTCATACATCCATCCCTAACTCACTTGTGCCACTGACCTACCAACTGTAACCGACCCATACAACTAACTCATACATCCAAACCCTAAATCACATGTGTCATGGGCCTACCAAGCTCTAACCTATACACCTAACTCATACATCAAACCCTAACCATATTTTATCTCAAATTTATTACTATACGTACAAATTTAATTTCAAATTTATTAATAAATGTGTAATTCTATTTTTGAATAAACCCCATACGTAGATATATATAATAATGTACAAATTAAAAATTAATTTTTAATTTATATGGTTACATAAAAACATAAACAATATTGAATATGATAATTACTTAATACTTTATTAAATTATTATACATATATATTTATACATAATCATCATCATCGTCGTCGTTCGAACTACTCCTCCTCTGCAATTAGTCGAAATTGAATGATGATACTCTGCGTCGATGTCTCGTCAGCTGCGATTTATCATCCCTATAAACCCTCCGACTATATGAAAATGTTCATTCTCACACTTGGTAGAAACGAACCTTCATCACCAACCGACGATCATTTACAAAGGAAAATTTTCTTGATCGATTAATGGCAGGACAGGCGAGCACCGATCCATGGGTGAAGAAAAGGTTTTAACTGTGGAGAATTACAAAGGAACCACCAACCACAACTCCAATCGTGCAATATGAAAAGGTAACGATAACAAAATAATGATTAGAGTGGTTCATGGAGAAAATTTTACCGATTTTCCAGGTAAATCCTATGCAAAAACATTAGTAGCTTACATTACTTGGGTCAACATCGAATTGCTAGACATGGAGTTGCTAGGAAGATTTTCTAAAAGTCTGGGTTATGAGAAATTTGGTTACTGGTATTATATGCCAACTGAAGAGCAACAGGGGTTGACCATGTCCCCCATTATAGACGAGAATGTGTTGGGAAATTTCAAAATGATGGCTAGGGCACACAAATTTCATGAAATTGAACACTTGTATATAGAGCACAAGACTAAACCTATGCCAATGAATTTTCCCCATTACTTGATGAACTCACCATCGAAGAGGATAAAAAAGCTTATCTATCTCTTGGTGACAGAAGACCCAAGAGCAACAGTTGATGATGGAATTGCATACATCAAGCAAATGATGAACATGACAATTCCAAAGTGAAAAGATTGAAGATTTGATAGACATGGCTAAAGAGAATGTCATTGCATGGCAAATTTTGTAGTGTAGGCAAGTTTAATATGTTTTTGTAATTAGCTTAATGGATGTTAATATGATATATATGGTATGAAAATATGGATGTAACACAACATCCAATATTGTAGTTATTTTGAAACTCCTTTTTTATTATGGTAATATAATATTAATGTACTTTGGTTTTAATTCACAAATTGTGAATATTTTATTATGGCATTGTACTTTGTAGTTGCAGTTGGTTTAAACACATGATCATAAAGAACTGATGTGCAGTGGTGTCTGTAATAAGGGTTACTATAGTAAAGTGAACATATTTGAATATGGAATTGTACTTTGAACTTAACCATTTACCTATTTAATTTTTATGTTATTTAACTGTCAGTAGAAAGCTAAAAAAATATTAATTAAACAGTTTAAGATGGAAGGCAAGCAGTGGCGTAATTGTCTCTTTTTTTCAACTCAGCAGACTAGGTAAAAATGTTAAATAAATTTTTTTCAGAGTGAGTGTAATCATGGTTATTTTTGTCTTTTTTTATGTTTAAACAAAGATATCAACTTAACAGTTTAAGATGGAAGGCAAGCAGGGGTGTAATTGTCTCTTTTTTTTTCAACTCAGGAGACTAAGTAAAAATGTCAAATAAATTTTTTTCAGAGTGAGTGTAATCAGGGCTATTTTTGTCTTTTTTGGTTTTTCTTATGTTAAAACAAATAGATCAACTTAACAGTTTAAGATGGAAGGCAAGCAGGGGTATAATTGTCTATTTTTTTCAATTCAGAAGAGTAAGTAAAAATGTTAAAGAAAAATATTTGATAGTGATTGTAATCAAGGGTATTATTGTCTTTTTTGTTTTTTATTACCAAATATAGTATGTAATAAGAATTTATAGTTTTCTTTTATCACATCCAAATATATTATATATTAAAACGCAAGCTAGTTGGTCAATGAAGATGGATTTACCACATATTTATTCTGGAAGATTGTGGGTTCGTACCCCATTTACAACATTTTATTTTATAAATTACATGTTTGTTAAGTCTGTCACACACTAGATCATATCCTTAAGTAATTCCTTTATCAACAGGGGCGAACGCAGGATTTTACAGTAGAGGTTGCACGGGAGAGTTAGGGGTTGCACGGTAGTAGAAAAAATAAAATTTTCGAAAATTTTCGAAAAATTTTCCACTGCTGCCGGAAAAGTTAGGGGTTGCCGGTGCCACCGTGGACCACCCCTAGGTCCGCCCCTGTTTATCAATACATAATTTCCTTCATATATTTTCCTTTTTTACGATATATAATTGATGATCCATACGAATTGACTAAATATGTGTATTCATGCAATATGATTTTTCTTTAAAGCATTCTCTGGTCAATAAAAAGTTGTTGCTAATACTGAGTAACTTCTATACAAGACATTGATACAGGTACGCATACATCACATTTGTATATGTTCTTCAACGACATAAAAAAACAACACTTAATATAATTTTTTTTTTTGATATTTGGGTTGATAATGAATTTAATTAGTATGCATATATGTTATAATCTACATATAATGTTGAATTGGCTTCCATGAATTGGATTTATTTATTATATTGTGTTGTTCCTTTATCTACATCAACTGTTTGGTAAAAAACATCAATGAACAACTAATCTTAATTACTAAATTCATGTATGATTTTTGTAGCATGAAAATGGACAAGTCTTGGATGGGATCATATAGAAACAAAAGAGACTTATATAAAAGGTGTTGCAGAATTTTTAAAATATGCAGTACACAATTACAAGATTTCTAGGAATATCGATCCTTTAGATAACAAAACAAAGATAAAAATTCCATGTCCCTGTATAAAGTGTGTAAACCACATATCTCGTTCAGTTAATGTGGTAGATGCTCACCTATTTAGTAATGGAATTGATCAAACCTACACGAACTGGACTAAACATGGAGAAAAAGAGGAACCACCAAGTAATTATGTTTATACATAGGATTTTCCCATGGAAACATCATACGGTGATGAATACACAAACTTCAAAAGAGAAATGGCACCAGATGCTGCCGAAACAGTGGAGATGGTTGAAGCTACAGAAGATGATTTCATTCGGGACCCTAACAAGTTTAGAGAACTAATAGATGATGCTGATAAGCCCATATATAAAGGATGTCCTAAGTTTACAAAGTTATCTGCAAGAATAAAAACTACTCAACTTAAAGAGTAAGTATGGAGTATCAGATAAGTGCTTTACAGAATTATTAGTTTTGATCAAAAATATGTTACCAGAAGGAAATGAAATGTACAGTAGTACATATGAGGCCAAGAAAGCATTCAAAGCAATAGGCTCATGGTATACAAAGATACATGCATGTGTCAACAACTGTATACTTTAGAGGAACGAATACGAATACACCACAGTATATCCCACTTGTGGTAAATCAAGATGGAAGGTAGATGAAGAAAAAAAATAAAATTTACAAGAATATTCCAGCAAAAGTGTTGTGGTACTTTCCAATAATTCCACGAATGAAACGCATGTTTCAATAAAATAGTACTGAAAAATAATTAACATGGCATGCAACTAGTAGAAAGGTGGAAATCAGTGTTTTACGTCACCCAACAGATTCACCAGCATGGGCTGCCATAAATGAGAAATTTCCTGACTTTGCTAGTGAACCAAGAAATTTGCGGCTACGCATTTCGACTGACGAGGTGGATGTGAATAGAGGAAATAGGAATCATAGTGTATGTCCTATTTTAATTGTCATTTACAACCTTCCCCCATGGTTGTGTATGAAGAGAAAGTTTATCATGCTTTCGTTATTGATATCAGGAACACCATGAAATGATATTGATGTGTTCCTTTTGTTGAGTCTTATGTACTATAACACTCCTATGGTGCACATACAACCCTAATTGCTTTGGATCTAAGTTTTCTCTAGTTATACATTCAATAAAAAATTCCAAAGCATGAAGCCTACAACTAGCATACAATTTGACATATGAATCATAAAACTAGTTAGAATATTACCTCTTGTTGTAGCTTGTTAAATTTGGCCTTTCAAGAGCTTAGCACCCCAAGTGTGTTGCCTTAAACGGTTCACAAGACACCATGAACAATTGGATGAATATGAGAAAGAGGTTTGGAGATACAAAATCGGCTAGGTCTTCCTTTGAACTCATAGGTCCGATTTTAGGCTTAGGGAAATACATATATAATGTAGAATTCCAAGAGTCATATGAAAACCATAATTCTTACACTTAGGCTTATGATCCAGTAACTCATATGGACTCACTGTTCATGGAAACTTACATAAACTTAGTCCATCATGGATCAATAGCCCAAACCATATGTATCACTAATTTACATAATCAGTCCCCGTTAATTTAATTAGTCTCTTTTGATCACTAAATCAATTCCAAATTAATTCTTGATCAATACTAATTAAATAATATTATTTCTCAATTAATATATTGTACTTATAATATATTAATAAATCACAAATAACCTCTTTTCTAAAATATCCATCCTATCAAATTGTCCTGGTGAAGGTAACCCGAAATGGACCATGCTACTCTCGGGTTAAGTACATACCAATTATTGTTATGGGCTTAGACACCTAATCCAACAGTTTCCCACTTTGAAAAGTCTAATAACTATAACTGCAAGTACGACTTAAACACCGACTAGCAATCGTAGTTCTTAAAAAACCGTTGTCAAACTCTGACGCGCCCATTAGATAAGGGATCATATATTCCTCCATTCTAGATATCGTATGGACTGATACATGGATTATAATCATTCTCTCTGTCCATATGTTGTTTCCCGATTTCCGATTTATGACGACTGACTAATTGAACAAATCAAATCAGTCCAGGCTTGGCCAAGCGCTTAGGGTTGTCATCACTAAATCATCAAGGGGCCCACATAAATCGCTTTTATCCCTCTTAGGGTAAAATGAACGGATAAACTTCGACTCATATGCTTTCTCTATTTACTCATCAAATCACACACAATAATATGTTTAATAACACCAAGTTACTGGTGCGTTTACATATTATCAATGTGCAACCGACTTGTAAACTGCAACTATATGTCTTTGTTTCAAGAATATAAGATATTATCGTCTCACTAATCACTCGTGATAAAATCCATGAAGTGATTATATGAGCGTGTGTTTAATCCAATACTCAAATCTTATTATAGGAGTACTCATGAATATTGTAGCAAACTTGTGCTATGTCTAACACTTAGACAATCTACATACGGATTCATGATAGTCTTACCTCAATACCTACTTCCAAAGTATGATCCACTGTGGATAGTTTGAATAATCTTATTATTCGGGAAGTCAAAACATGCAAAGTGAAACAAAAGAATAATCGAATCCAATATGGTCTCAAAACTTTGAATATAAATAAAACACCTTTTATTTAATCACTATATTGATTACATTTCCAATGAAGCTCATTTCACAATTCCAAATCTTTATCACAAGTGTAAGAATTCCAAATTCTTGCCACTATAAGAAGGTGTTAGATTCTAAACTATCATGCAATGTACCTTTTGTAAGGTCATGGTACCAAAGTCATAGAGACTTTGCCAACGATATTACAAAACTTTCCACCGGAGATTGATAACAAAACAATTCCAAGGAAGCGAAGTCTCAAATTCAAAGTACATTCCTTTGAACATCCTTCTTGCATAAAAGTTTCCAACCTACACATAGATTCTTAATATCCATCTCATATTATGGAAACATTTCCATATATACCATATGACAACTCATTATTAATAGAATCATGTCTATTCATAATAATGTCAATACAGTCCATCCATTACTATACCTCCAACTACAAGCGATCAATCCATAGTGAATCTTAGATTGTCCTTTACAGTTGTTTAACCGCTTTAGTCATATCCGGTTCTAGTCCTTTTTCCCTCTTAATGCCCTAGGCATTTGGAAAATTAG